AAACCTGCGGGGAACTCTGCAAAAAACGCATCTTCGCACGGGCAGCCCGTGCGTTGGCCATTTTTACTTTTACTTTTTTTTTTTTGTTTCCTCCTTTCCACTCATCATCCTCTCCTTTCCTCTTACGTGGCCTAGGCAACTACCAAAGGACTTACGCCACGTGGCTCTTTCGCCACTCACCTCAACCCCCTCCCTGCCTCGAATCCCTGCTCGCGAAATCTGCACATACCGCTTTCTCTCATATCTACCCCACCCGTTCTCCGTGTCTCGAATCCCACATCCCTGACCAAGTACAACTTATATATTTCAAATCCAGCCATCAGGTATGCGTGGTTCTTACGTACGAGCACGTGAAAATTTGGCGGGCGAATCATTAACTCGGCAACTAGAAAAGCTGGAAGGCTGAGATTTTAGGTGATGTTCCCTGTCCACTTGCAATTTGAAAATTTTATATTCAGCTTCCCAGGCATGTGCAGTACACACGCACGAGCATGTGAAAGTTTTGGCAGAAAAACTGATAACTTGGTAACTAGAAAAGCTGGAAGGCTGGAATTTTAAGGGAATGTTCCTGGTCCAAGTGCAACATAAGTATTTCAAATTCAGCCTTGAGCTATGCGTGGTTCTTATGTACAAGCACTTAAAAGTTTTGGCGGAAAAATTTCTCACTGGACAACCGAGATTACTTTTAAAAAACGACTATTAAATGGAAATTGTATGTTTGCTTTAAGCAAAATTTATGGTGATTTATGTTAGTGACCGTAAAAGATAGGTGTGTTGCATCTTGCCCACGTAGATCTATACAAGGCCGCCATATCTGTATTGTAAAATAGTGTCGATCCAGTGGAGTGTCGACCCATTGTAACGCTGTGGCATTGTGGACGACTTACGAAGGACGAGAACCCCGCCCCTACCCCAAGTTATCGTCGAGGAGTCAACGACCCAGCTCGACACCCCAGAGCGCCGGGCTAATCGAAGCAACGCCCAGGCCAGCTAGAAACCCAACAAGTGGGGGTTGGGCCCGTGACGTATTGTCGAATATGCCAAACTTCTGCAAGAGGGACAAAAAGCGGCACGGCCGCTAGGTAAAAGGGTGCAGCGTGGGAGCCGCCAGCTCAGGGGGCAAGGGGAGCTCCCCCCGTAGCCTACCCCCCCCTCCCCCTCCCGCTCAGGAAAATTCCCTAGACTCGCGTATGGCCAAAGCTGAGAGCAAGTCTATTATAGAATATGGACTGAATCAAAATAGGATAGGCTAACTTCTTTGCCCTCAGCTTCGCCTAAGCATTAGCTTCATAGATACAGAAACCCCCTACTCTCCTTCCCCTGACTTTAATTTCTATTACACCAATATTTACATTGTATTTATTCATTTTAAACATTCTTATTCCTATTAATTCAGTTACCACAGCCGTACCGATGAGGTCCTATTGTGGTTACGACAAGAAATGTATTAATGGACCGAAACATTTCATACCTTTAAATAAACTGTCTAAGTAAACCTCATTAAAAAATTTTTCTTCGTTGATAACTCTTTGCAAACCTTTCCCTATTTAAATCTTTCTCTACACAATAAATTTCTCTAATTTAAATCATTCATAATTTCCTCCCCACCTACAGTCATCTCAAACCTTTTATTCCATATTCTTCAACAATACTACAATATTACACTTATTAATTTACCTTTCCTCCACTTCCTCTCCTTCCATCCTCCCCTCTCCTTCACCACCTTTCTTATTCTTCAAACTCACTACTAAAATAGCAAAACTTTAACGAGGTAGGGTGATCAGAGTTTGAACCAGAAACCGAGGTATTGCATCATAGTGACACAATTCTTTTTAGTGACGCAATAGGTTCCAATTCTTTGATTTCGCTTTTGTTCATAAATTCAACTTTGTTTATTTTTTTTTTTTATTTTTCTTTGTCGTGCAGTGTTGGCTTCTTTTTCTTTTTGCCGGCGTCTCCAGTTCTTCCGTCAAACTCCTGACTAGTACCGTTGCCCTCTCCTCTATCCCAACCCAAATTTCTGCCTCCAGAGTCGCATCGGGGCACCCATCACCCACCACTTCCAACCAGTTTCTCCACTTTTTGTCTTGAGCTCCTGACTAGTATCTTTCTCCCTTTTCCTTATGGTTTCATCAGATCATGCCTCCAGAGCGACATCTTGGCATCCACCAACCAGCATCCTCCAATAA